GTTAAATTTTTTTAACATTTTCTAATGGTGGTGTGCCTCGTGATTTTTTTCATGAAAAAAGTGTGCCTTTGCACAAAAAAGGTTAAAAAACACTGGACTAGAAGACCTCCAAGGTCCCTTCCAACTCTGTTATTGTATAGTAAATATAATATAACATAATATAATTAATATAATATAATTAATATAATATAATAATAAATATAATATAATAAATATAATGCAATGTAATATAATATAATAGACATGTAGGTATGTAGATATACATAAAGGAAATGAAACTAAACTTGCCAACTTAAATGGATAAGTAATGAAAATTTAAAATTTGACAAATGACACAAATAACTGTTCCCTTGAGTTTCAGATTCATGAAGGTTACAAGGCTGCAAGGCGGTTTTGCTATACACACAAAGTATAGAGAATGAAGCGTATACATCCAATAATGTTTTTATTTTTTTTAAAAAATTGGTTTTGTAAAAAAAATATTCTCCCCTTCATGGGCCCCCTTTGAGCCCGGGGACAATGTACCCGCTGCACCCCTCCCTCTCCTCAGGCCGGCGGGGGCTGTTGACAGGATCCACACGGCTCTGTTGGCAAAACACGGGAGCAGCTCCAGAAACCGCCGCGCCCTCCGGCAGCTGCCTGGGAGGTTTCCCTTTCAGCGGTGGATGGGATGGAGGGCGAGGCTTCCGAGGTTACCTCAGCCCCCCGCACGGAGGACGTCTCCGGGGGAGCCGAGAAAGCGGATGGTTCCTCCCCCCACCCCCTCCACAGGCTTCGGGCTTAGCCTTAGCCTCCTCGGCGCTTTGGTCGTCATGGCGACGGGACCTGCGCGGCTGCTGCTTCAGAGGCTTAACGCGCCTGCGCACCTGATCTGGGCGCGTGGAGGAGGAGAAAGGAGGAGGAACGGGTCTCAGCCCTCGGCGCCTGCGCACGTCGTTGCCGTAAAAAAGAGGGCACCCTCCGCTCTTGGCGCCGCTTCCGCCCGGCCGCAAAATGGCGGCGCCCTTTGTCTATTCCGTGTCACCATGATCGCCGCCGCCACTGGGATGATGTGACGCTCGTGGGGATGGCAGGTGCGGGGCCGAGAGGGCGGAGGGGGGGCGCAAATCCCGGGGGGGGGCTCCTCCGGCCCGACCACCCAGCGCCGGGGCGTCTGGCTGAGAGCGGGGGCCGCCGTCCCGTCCCCGCAAAAGGCGAGATCGGGGCGAAGAAGCCGCGGCGCGGACAGCTCCTCGGGGTGCGGGAAGGGTTGGCGCGCCCGTTGCCGACGATCGCCGGGAAGGCAGGCAGGCAGGCACTGCGGACGGGGCCAGAAACCTCGCCGGGGATGCGGGAGGGTGATGCGATGCAGCCCTCCCTTCCTTCCCCGCGACACAACAGCCTTCCGGGGTAGGCCAGGCTAAGAGACTGTCCCCGGATGCCCCTCCAGAGGTGGGGGGAGGGCGTCGCCGCAGCATCTGATTGCCTCTCTCTTCCCGCAGCCATGGACTTCCCGCAGCACAGTCAGCAAGTCCTGGAGCAACTGAACCAGCAGCGGCAGCTGGGCCTGCTGTGCGACTGCACCTTCGTGGTGGACGGCATCGACTTCAAGGCCCATAAGGCCGTGCTGGCGGCCTGTAGCGAGTACTTCAGGATGCTCTTCGTGGACCAGAAGGATGTGGTGCACCTGGACATCAGCAACGCGGCAGGTGGGTGGGGGGCTCCCTAACTTGGCAGCCTTTTTGAAGCCTCCCTGTTTTCTTTCATTTCCTGCACCTTTCACTGGGCGCAAGTATCCCCCCCCCCAATGAGATTTGGGAGCATCCCGATGCTGGTGGGGGGAGATCGGAGTTAGGGGCCAGCTGGAGGAGTTGGCCTTGGTGAGTAACCGGATGCCAGCTTTGAGTTCTCCCCTTTTCTCGTATAGTAGCTATGGGTATCGTCCAGTGATGGGTTCCGGATCCCTTCGCAACCGGTACACTGCGACAGGGCCGGGCGTCCATCACGTGCACAGGTGCTGCACACGCATGCACACCACCACCCTGCGACGCTCCAGCTGCTTGGCAGAGCGTTGCGCAGGCACCGTATGCTGCCTGCGTGTGCGCAAATGGCCCAGTTGTGTTAAATACAGGTAAGGAGGGTGGGTGGGCCTCCGAAGCACTGTACCGGAACGGTACCTGGTGCTCCCAGCAGGCACCGGTACCAGGGCATACCAGCCATAATCCACCACTGGTGTCATAAAAAGAGGACCTGACCTGGGGCGCTCCCATTGCAGCCCTGATCAAAAAGGCCCAGCAGAGATTATACTCCCTGAGACGTCACAGGAAACAACTGAATGGAAAACTGCTGGGCACCTTCTACCGCTGCACAATAGAGAGTATTTTAACTTACTACCCCTGTGTCTGGTTTGCGAATTGCCCAGGGGCAGACAGGACAGCACTCCGGAGGGTCAACGTCATCGCCCAGAGGATCATGGATTGCCCCTCTCCCCTCTTTGGAAGAGCTTGATAGCTCCCGCTGCCTTAAGAAAGTTCAAAACATTCTTAAAGATTCATCTCATCCTGGTCACCCGTTTTTTTTTTTTTTTTAACTATTACCATCTGGCAGCTGGTACAGGACAATAAAAACAATAGGTTGAAAAACAGCTTCTATCCCAGGGTATATAGTAATTAATGTACACTGAAGACGCCATTTAATTTTGTTGTACCACATGCAATTGCAATAAATTAACTAGCTGGCTGCAAAAGCTAGAGAGCCTCCAGGCTCTGGTGCAGTTCAGCTTACAGCAGCCTTAGAAGCGAGGTCTGTTTTGGGAGCTTCCTGAGGCTGGCGAGGGGATGGGTGGTATTTGGGGCTGCTGCCAAAGCTCACCTTCTGGCTGTGGGTGTCTCCTACAGGTCTGGAGCATGTGCTGGAATTCATGTATACGGCCAAGCTGACCCTCAGCCCGGAGAACGTGGAGGACGTTTTGGCCGTGGGCAGCTTCCTTCAGATGCAGGAAGTCGTCCAAGCCTGCAACACGCTAAGGGCCCTCTCGGCACCAGCTGGCCTGGAGATCCCCGTAGTGGCTGGTAGGGCACTTTCCTGTCCTTGGGTTCGGTTCCCTTTCTTGTTTGCAGGACACACACACATGCACCCCAAAACCCTGGGCCTGTCGGAGGGGAACTCATCATCTCCAGCCAGGCCCAGGAAGTGGCTCTGCAGCTGAGCTGCCCTTTGGCAGGTTTGAAGAGCCAATTTTTCTGGGGTATTTGTGTGTAGGCTGTCCTACGAAGGGGGCATTTTGTTACTAATGCCAAACTGCCTGTCAGAGTGGAAAGCTGATGGAAGCCTTATATATTTTGTATATGGCCTTCGGGAGACATGGGGAAGCACCAGCCAGCGTGCAGCCCCAACTTCCTAGCTTGAGGCTGGGTCTTTGGTGGGAGGGGGATAGGCAATGCAGGATTGATTTTGCTCTCCTGGTCTCAAAACACCATTGACTTTGTTCTGTTGGAAGCATGGAAGGGATGCGATGCACCCAATATGTGCTTGGCCACTCTGGTTTTCTTTTCGTGGGGGATCCTTAAATGTACTGGAAATCTGGGGTCTATCATTAGATGAGTACGGTAGTGTTGTGGCCCGCCAGCAGAGCTTGCAGCAGATTCAGTGAGGAGGTCGGGGAGGAACATGGGCCAGTCCTGGAGTCTGGGGAAGGCTCTGATGAGGGCTCTGTGTCGGAGGCAGAGAGGGGGCCAGAGC